CCAAGTTTGAAATAATTTCTTAATTACTGCAATAAATTTCACAAATAGCAGATAAAGTGGTTTTGTATTAATAGGCCCTGTRCAGCTAGGGGTCAKGTGACCCACCTTTAGTACCTTATACTGTACATCAAACGCCTATCACAAAATGATGCCCACCTAGAAATGGAAAGAGCAGCTTATGATGTACATATACTTACTACTAGGTAAAATGGCAAAGTCTCAACTCTAAATACTTCAAGAACGACAGCAATATTGTAAAATCTTCATTCTTCTAAAGAAACGTATGAGAAAATAAAACTGGAGAGCAAGCCTTGCTTTGTTTTTCTCTAGAAAGAAGTTGATTTTCTATTCTTTACAATCATTTTTCAAGGATTTAGTTTTAAGRCTGCAACCCAAGTCTTCTCTGCTCACTTTTTTCTTTGTCTAAGAGGATACCAAAGGGTTCCCAATAAGCAAAATTGAAGGGTTCCTGCACAGGAATCTACCTTAAGACATTATACAGGTTAAACCAGTTTCGAGGTGCACTGGACACGCTTTAACCTTTTCTTTTCTAATCTTTATAATTGCAATGGTTTGCTAAGGCACAACTAAATATAGTGTATTTAGCTTGATGTCTTTGATGCTGTGAAAGTTTATGGAACTTAAGAAACAAAGAAAGAATCACATTTCCATCGACTATTTCTAATTGATGATTTGCCAAAATCTTTGGTTTTTGTTGGTCCCAGGACTGCTTTATTTCCTGGTACCCCAGGAATGTTCAACCACATTCCAGTTAGCTAAATTCTTTTTCTAAAACCAGTAAATTGATTTTTGTCAATAAGTAGTTGTAGCTGATTTTTTTTAATCCACATGAAGTTTTTATGCTGGCTTCTTGTCAYCTTTCACAGTCTGACTTATAGTCCTCTCCCTAAAATATCAAAGGTAAAACTTCAAGGACCATTTAAAATTATATATAAATCATGACTTTATAATAATAATATCCACAATAAGCATTTTTAAAGGGACACTGTCAATGGATGACATGCGCAGTTAAGTAACAGTCTTGCCTCTAACGCGAACAGACTTTGAAAGTATTACCTTCGAGGCAAATCAATGTTTTGACACACTTTGGAATATTCTAGATCTGTATATCTTTACATTCAAGTACTTTTTTGTCATGCGTTGCGCCAACTTGGAGTCGTAAACTTGAAAACATTAGCCTAATCTTTTCAAGTTTACTCACGCATGCGTGCCATTGACAGTGTCCCTTTAATACAAACAAAAATTTTATAATACAAAATATATAATTATAAGATGTGCTCATGTAACATCCTCTATTAATGAATATCATATCATATCATCATAACCATGTACCTCTTCTATCTTCCTGTCCAGCATTGTGAAAAAATCAGCTTGAGATTGTGTCAGCTGACTGGAAAATTAAAAAATAAAAGATCATTAAATAAAAATTAATGTTTTGTTCCACTCCAAGACAGCTACATGAAGATTTAGCCTTCATTGAAAAAAATCTGGTGAAACTGCACCAGGATCGGGTTATCTCATATTATATAGTGGTGTTAATCCTGGATTATCTCCATTAGGTTTTTCAAGTAAGTTAACCAAGGATTATCACTAAATTCGAGCTTTAAATAACCAGATTTATCAACACAGACTAATTGTATGATCCTTTTCAACCATTCCCATGAGATTCAAAAGATAAAAGGAGGAATGGAGGAATGAACAATAGATACTTCTAATGAGAAATCCTTTGCTACAAATCACACTAAGACACTCATATTTAGCAAGGATGCAGTAAAAATGATGCACTTTCAGAATATGAAACACTAAAACTCTGTCTACACAAACTGTCTAGTACCAGTCCCGATGCTCSGACGCGGACGCGGCACCAACAGGTCTATTACATGTGACTCCTTTGTTCCTGACTGATGACGAGATAGAATTCCAATCAAACATCGACTTACAGGTAAGTCTGGTTTAATTTTCAAATTCTATCACGTCATCATGCAGTCTACGTCACTACGGAGACACATAACTACTCACTATTAGACTTATAGTGTTTTCATGGTTGACGGAAAACCACTCAAATATAGTTTACTTACACTTTAACTTGGCCAAGCGGTATACTCCGGACCTGTTGCTGTTCGTTTTCACCTCTACAAATCAGAATATGATAACAATGTAGTCCATCATTTCTTTTTTACCATATGACAGTAGAGACTATTAGCCATTTTTATGTTATGAAATGGATTGTAATTTCTGTCATATTGAGCCAATCGAAAAACTAACCATATCACTAAAAAGACCTTATCGACTTTAGTGTAGGTTCCACGTTACAGATCATTTGGACAAATATTCAATTAATGAGAAGCCGTGCAATTTACAGAGAATGTATGGGGATTTTGACCGCGTCCCCCAAAACAATACATTCTCTGACTGTTAATTTGATGAAACTAGGAATAAATACTGTTCAGCTAGTTTTTATCCAAACGTTTTGAAACTTGGTATATGTACTAATTTTTGGGTGTCCTTTCATCTGGTGGGGTTTGTTTCGTGATTAGATCAATATTTCTTTGATTAGTGCCCAGTCCCCTGCGCAACGTCGAAATGGCTAATATTCACATGCTAGTCCTATTTTTATTTCAAATCATTTGCATTCTCAGACCCAAACCMTTCTCAAGGCCCATTTACACTTGCAATTTTTGCAGTRAGATTGTAGCGCGACAATCGCCACTTTGTTCTCTTGCACCTCAAATTGTACGTGTAAACAGCCCAGGGTGTAAACAGTCGCGGCGATAAAAAATCACTGCGAGTTGCAGCTAAATTTCAAGCATGTTCGAAACTAAGTCGACTGTCGCACGACAATCGCGCTGCAAAAATTCAAGTGTAAACGGGCCTTCAGTTTCCTAACAGAAAGTCGAAGGCTCTGGATGGAGACAGATGAGTCCTTGATTTGAGTGGTTCAAAAATTCCCATGTGGAATCGAGTTTGAATCAATTCATTACAACCATGGGAGTATAATTGACAAGGCTGGCTAGATTTGTCATGGCACAGTTCTGTTGGTCATGCTGCACCATCACAAAGGATTAACACTCACACTTAGTAATTCATATTWTTACCATTATTTAAATGATAAATTGTACCTGTTTTTAGAGAGTAAGGGCTTCCTAGGTTGGCCACCATTCTCCTTAAAAGCAATAAAACACATAAAAATAAATACATTTTCTGGTAAGTATGTATTTATTATACATTGTCAGTGTCAAAAAGTCTACTTCATGGTTGCTTAATGTGGAGTCTTGAAAGGTGGCTGTGCCTTTGCACAAGAAAAAAGAAAATTTATTGCAAATAATATTTGGAATCTGAATTTATATTCCAGTTGAATGATAGGCCTACAGAATTGAAGACAAGGCTTGGGGGAAAACAAAAAGAGTTGATCAATAGTGATCCCCTTCTTGGTTACGTGCGCCATCTTGAAAGGTAGCGGTGCCTTTACATTGAAGCGAGATAACTGTTGAGCGTTTAATGATAGCTTCCTGTGAATAATTGTCTGTAGGTATGAAAGAAGGTTTCTATCCTTCTATCATTGCACACTCAACAGTCATTTTGCTTCGATGCAAAGGCATGGCTRCCTTTCAAGATTGAGCACATATAACCATGAAGGGGACTATTGATTAAATTTTCCTAAGCTATCATCTTCAATGTTTTTGTGTGTTTTTGATAATTAAAATATATTTAAACTGAACTATTAGAGTATACTATTACCCGTTCCAAAAAACAGACACCAGGACAAGAAAGAGCATACTAAAATTAGTAAAGCTGCTGAGTTTGAGAGTATTCGGATGAATTATTACAGAGTTTCAAGCGTAAAACTCGAAAAAATTACAAAGAAAAGTATGGAGGTTATGAGYAGCGTTCCCAAAACCCATACATTCTCTCTTAATTATTTTAATTACAAATTTGAAAAAAAATCCTACTCGGTGAATATCCAAAAACTATGCTCAAACTTGACAGGAGCACTTATTTTAGCGTGGTCGTTCATGTGGTGAGGTTCAGTTTTCGATGAATGTAATATTTTTACACTCGTTCCCAGTCTCCTTTTGAATTTCGGAATGGCCAATAGTCTCCTTCACAGTCCTGTTTAGTTTTGGACACATGACTGTAACGCAACCTTTGTGTATGGATAAGGTTCCATTACGCATGACCGAAACATACTAAAGTATAGTAGAGTGTCCTACCACTTTGTGTTTCGATTGCTCCTGAGTTTGTTTTTGCTTGGTATGTTTATTATCTGGCAATGCATCCAGACATTTTTCTGGTGTGTCCAGCGAGTTACTGGAGTTTCCACTGTCAGTTGAATCCCTCCTGGATGTAGGGTTGACACTTGATTTGGAACTGCTAAGTGTTTGAGATGGTCTCTTTTCATCTTATGATAAAAAATAATAAAAACAAATTAGTATTACCATACTAGTGGACTATTGCAAATCCTTCGTTCTGATTGGCTACGCTACTTGGGGTCTATTTTCAATAGTCCTTGACTAGCAAAAAAGCGACAACTTTTTGCGTAATTTTAGCAATAAAAACACTTATTTATAATTTCATTCATTTTTTGTCCATCTAGTATGGTAATACTAAAACAATTAGATCTCTCGGCATCATGGACTACGAGCTGATCAGTATCTGATCGTCTCGTTTTTGATGCCAGCTATATATTTCAAGATGAACCAGGGAACTGTGACTATTTTTAAAAGATCTTTGTTAGTTGTATTTTTCGTACTTACAAGTAGTTTGGTCAATCAACCATGAATAATTTTAACAATTTATTCCAAACTTTCGACCTAAGCAGTCATCTYCACGGAACACAAAAACAAAAACTAATTTTCACTGAAATCAAGCTGTTTAGCGCGCGCAATAAAGCCAATGYGCGTGCTGTTACAAATGAAATGCAAGAAAGATAAGAATAATAATTAATTATTGAGYAAGCATTTAAATAGTTTTCATGCAGTGTTTGACCTTAATTGTTAAAATTATTCATGGTTGATTGACCAAACTACTTAATGTAAATGAGAARACTATTGTTGACCAGTAAAAATAAAAAAAATAACGTTCGAAGTTAAAAAGTTCAAAAAGACGATGGCAAAAGAAGCTAAATTCAAAATCTAAAATATAAATAATTTCCTTTAATCAATAGAATTAACCTATATATAGTATTTTAATAGTTAAATTGATCAATTACTGTACAGTGAAATTTACTTACCAACCAACCCGTTATTTGATAATCCATTCTTGTTGTCAATCTTAGCATTGATTCCATGGATGTTTGTATGTTGGGTACTGGTACTAATCTCTGGGCTTGTTGATAAAGTCTTGCCAGCCGAACATCCCATAATATTGACCCTTTGAAGGGCAGCAGTGGTAGTCTTATATCAATCCACAAAGTAAAAGAGCTGCGGATCAGACAATAACCTGTCAATATAATATACAGGGTTTTGATGGATCAATATTATTAAAACTAGACAGGCAAAATGGTACTGTCTGAAAGTAATAAAATATGATTTGAGCAGTTTTAAACTATTAAACGGTACGATAAAATAATTTGGTGTTATATACATGTACCATGATAATACAATGCAATGATGTAATCATCGTTTTATTGTTATGCAATACATACCACTGACAATATTTTTTTTTCAAGTTAAAAATTACCAAAATTTGAATATTTTGTAGTAGTACCACCTGATAAAACAGGATTTTTTCTAAATATTTAATTGTTATGAATACCAAAAAAAATATATTTTGAATGTATGGTTATAGGTAGTATTTTGCTTATAATGAAATATAAAAAAAAGAGAGCAAATTACTTCCTAATTACATTTTTGTTTAGATTCATATTCAAATTAATGGTAAAYGTTTATGGTATGGTTATAACAGCTGTTTTGGAATTTGAATAACAGGCAATAATAAAATATGAAATAATTACAACTACARTACATTCATCAGTATTGTTTCAATCAATAGTTTGAAAAAAGATTAAATAATCTAATTTAATAATGAAGATTTGTATACAGATTACTAAAATCAAAATAATACTTTTTAGAAAAATCATGATAAACAATGCTCAAAACTTGAATAAYATTTGATTGTTTATCAAAATGTAGTAATAACAGAAAAAGTAAATACAAAATAACTTAACCTGGTGCATTCAGACGTCGTAAAAACAGTTAAGAGCTGCTATTTTGAAAAACATCTGTCAWTGTACATGCCATATCATAAAATGGCATGAGTTCACCTTTTTATTGTTAAAACAAATGGATTTTTTTCTCCCCCTTTGGAAGTTAGTTAATTTGTGGTTGTACTTTTCCACTTAAGGAATATACCACAAATGGGTTTTTCGATTTATTGGGTTTTGTGGGTCATTGTATAATGGAAAATTGACAAACACGACTGTCAGTTCACTTTGCAATGATTGATATACCCAGAAAGAGAACAGGATATAATGTAAAAAAATGTATTTTATTGTATATTATATTGAAGTTATTGAAGATAATTATTACTGTATGTTATGAACTTGCAGATACTTGCTCATAAATCTTGCATTATTATTATCATTAGTATTATTATTATATTATTAGTTATTATTATTTTTATTGTTATAATTATTATTGTTATTGTTAGAATAATAATAATAGTAATAATTATTATTATTATCATTAATATATTATTAATATATTAATATAATATACAACTATGTCTTGCCGATATTCAACTGTTTGCATGAACCATCATAGTCTTCTTGATCAAACATAAAAATGGGTCCCGGGCACTACATCATCATCCTTGTCGTCACCAAACCTCCCAAAGAAAGCTCAGCTTTTTCTCAGCTTTTTTAGCACAGGATGCCCAAACGAAGCTTATAATGCAATTTCAAACCACTGTAAAATCAAGAATTTTTATTTGGTGACTTTCATACTCCGAAAAATTATTATTGAGGACTTAAACTTTAACTCAAAACAATATTTGGCCAGGGTGTATGGCACTTTAATTGAGCAACCTAAACAGCTGTCTTTGTGTTATCTAGATTATGCTAGTGACATTTATTTTAAGTTTATTGACCAAAATTGTTTACCATTAATGCACAAAGTTCATATAGTACTTCCGTGTGCTTGTGTGGCACTTGACTGTGAAGTAGTTTTTGATGTCAAGAGTGCCTTATATCAGGTCTGCAATCCAAAACCTAGCGCAGTTTGTTTAAGTGTTGTTATATAACTTAAATATGATGTGTTAATTGGCTATWTATGGTAAAGATGACATTTCTACAATATATTATGTGGTACACAATGCAGAATTTCTACCTAAATTATGTTGTCTAAATCTATCTTTTCTTGACTTTAATTACTTTTTTTTTTAATATAATGTATCAAAAATTGGAAGTGTTTATTGTTCCACATTAAAAAATAATTTTATATCAAAATGACATTATTTATGTTTAAGTTATATATAATTGGCTGAAAACATACTATATTGCAGTGGAGAATTCTGCTTAACAAAAAAAAACAATTTGGGTCTTTTTGATTAATGAATGCCAGGTTATTTTTCTAAGAAATTGTTGTTTCAAAATATCATTGAAATTTGTGTCAGATAATAGAATTATAAACCATAYGGCCTGGCCATTAGCCAATCAAAAGCAACATATCTCTGAAACAGGGCACCTGGTACACGGAGTTGCATTTTATGTTTATGCATACTTGGTAACTATGGTTTTTATATGTTAATATTTTTACAGATGTGAAGTTCAATTTATTTTATCACTGATACGAAAAGCAATTCAATAATAAATCTCTCTAATTTAGATGATATAAGTGAATGTTTTGTAAAACTATATGGGAAATTACAGGAAAAAAATACCCTGCCCCCATTTCCTTAATTCTTACCAAAAACGCTTATRTTGGCATGGAATAATCTGGTGAAAATACATGCGAAATACATAACTTTAATTGAGAAATCTTGGAATTAAACAAAAATATATTATCTCTAGGGAGTAAATCTTATGTAATTGTATCCATTTTCATTTTAATTTGAAAAATATCATAACAAATGAGGTTTAATGCAAGATTCAATTTAAGCCATCATTTACATTACACACACCAAGTTCTGCCGCAAAGCGTGTTGCGATATTATGCATTGTTTTCATTGTTATTTTCCTGTTCAGTATATAGTATTACACACTCAATTATCGAAATACAGTTTGTGGAAAACAGCAATAAATGCTCACTGGAAAAAAATGAATAATTTAGGACGTGTATATTGGTCTGTGTCAAGGGGCTGGCTGTACACACGCCGACCAATGAATTTTTTTTGTAATCTTACTGAAATATCAGCATATGAAAACCACTTTATATAAATTCATACAGTMTGAAATGCGGTAACTGCTAAAATAAAACTGACGAATATTTAGATTTAGATTTTGGTAAACCATGAATTTGGACGGCTGCAGCAAACCTCAACACTATGGGCAAATTTGACTTGAGCGGAGAAAAAAACAACTCTGCGACACAAATGAGTTAGCTCTGCCTTCACGATCACCTCGTGTATTTTCATAGCTACTAACTTCAACATTAGCACAGTTATAGAATAGCCAGTCAATTATTAGACACTTTAAGACAAAAGGTAAAACATTAACAATACGCCATGGACTAAACGAAGCGTGTAAAATCAGACACGAACACCGAAAAAACCCACAGCACGACTCGAGAGATAAAAACAAAAATAGAAAAAGCTATACTACCAAAATCACCAATGAAAGCTCACCTTTCTTTTGTTTATTCCTCTTGTAGACTTAGTAATAAAATAGTAGGATAAATTGTCCAGTATTGCCATCTAGAGTCCCACAAGTCCCTCGAATCGAGCAACTACCGTTGCGAATGCAATCTGTCGAAGAGATTATTCTTTAAATTTGATAAAGAGCGATTCTGACTACAAACGCCAAGGCATTGTATCCCTTCGATACAAAGATGACTGAATATCGACGCTTTAATCCACTGGAGATCCCTTGATGTTCAAAGACAAGAGCAAAATCAGTCTAATTCGTCAGGTAACTAGAAATCTTCACAATCACGTCTGTGGGTCCTTGGGGATTAAGCTTGGAAAAAAACGCGCTCAAATCGCAATCGTGAACCACAATTGCCTAGGAAACTTTAAGATAAACGCTCTTGAACTGGAGGGGGTTGTTTTTTGGTTATGATAACAACATGCCAGTCCAATCAATCCAATCCTGCGACTATTCTGTACTGACGGCTGTTTATCGTGTTACCAAGGTGCCTGCGAGGCTACTGGGAAGGCATTCGTTGACGTTTAAACCACCACCCACCCTCCCTCCAGTGTTCCCCTTTTGTAATTATCACAAAATGTTTTCCGTTCTGCTATAATAGTTGCTATGCATTTATAACATCAGCTGAAATGTGAAATAAGGAATCTCATTAAATTCATTATTTCAATGCTCGGAAGAAATATATATATATAAAAAAGAAAAAAAAATGGCGGAAAAAATGGCGGGATTAGGAGCTGGACAAAACTTGCCAGTCAAATGTACTCATCACTCACTATTAATTTCTAAAATCATAACCTGTTTAATTTAGAACAGAATTCTCTACGGTTTTTTTTTTTTATAACGAAACTTGGTTTCACGACCGCTAATAGGGGAACGATCAAAGTCATTTTCATAATCAGAGCGGGCCAACGCTTGCAGGGGCTCTTGTCGGCTTTCTTTGTCAGGGAATTGTTTGAAAACACATATCAAAGCAGTTCCTAGCTGGCATGGCGGCTCTACGTATAAGAGGGATGGGATATCTGAGACCTACGTCCTCTTACGGCCCACTCACCCAGTCCATCACCGGCAATGCCAAAGGGTAGAGCTGCATTGAAAACATGAATTAAGAAGTGGTATTTTTTTAAAAGCTTGCATGAATCTTTAGAGTCTTTGCATGTATTTTCCATGCTTTTATTGTTACCCTCCCCGCCTCCCTAATYTCCCTATCCAAACATGGCAACATGGGGCCCCTTCCCCCATCATATTTCAATGACATCATTTCATAAAATAAACTAAGTCCATCATCAGTTCGAGAGTATGAGATTTTGTTTTCCATTCAATATGTTCCCAAGGCAACAAAGTATTTCAGCACGCCAGCAGGATGCCAATACCCAAATAATGGGCTTCCTGTGGTTGCACCGCTTCACTGCTTCCGTTCCGAACTCCGTGATAGTTTTCGTCGGATCTCGCTAAAGGTTTGAAACAACTGCCAGTCTTCTCTACCGCTTTTGAGAAACAGAGAAACTAAATTCCGGCTAAATGACAAGACCTACTATCCTGTACTATCAGATCTGAGACTCTTTCTTTCAAAACGTTATATATTTTATTTTGATAAATGTATTTTGCTATATTTTTATAGAGTGAAGGCATTGATCCTGTGAAATAAAAGTTAATAATTAAACTGTAATAGTCAAATAGACACAAAAGAAAACAATGGAATTATCGAGTAATAACATGTAATAGTCAAATGTGTATTTCACGGGTTCATTGACTTCACTCTATTACTTTACCTTATAAATATACAAGATTACGTGCACTTTGTTTGTTTGTTGTTGCTTTTTTTCCTTTTATATTTATATTTATCTATACATTTATTTATTTATTTATGTCTATATTTCTTTATTTCTATATTTCTTTATTCTTTATTGCTTTATTTCTTTATTAATTTTCTTTATTTCTTTATCTATATCTTTATTATTCATTTTTTTGTTTTTGTTTATTATTTGTTCCTAAATTACAAAGAGCAACGAACGTAGAATAACGAATTAAAAGGTTGGACATATTCTCCAAAATTGTATTTTTCATATCCTGAACGCTTGTATCCGCCTTGCCAAACTCAAAGTGACATCTTGGCATCTTGGATCTCACGATACGAGACCCAACCGACACCTTTTCCGATCACTTTCCGACGTCTACACTTTTGCCTGTCCATCTGCTTTGCTCTCATAAGACGAGTCTCTACCAAAACTCTTCCCATTTATACTTTCCGACGGATAGATTTTACATGTAACTTGTTCACGCACATTATGTTTTGTTTGTCTGTCATGATACGAATCCAGACCGATACTTTTCCGATTCCGATCAACTTCCAACGACTTGTCCTGCTTGAGTTGATCAAAAGTCTCCGGTGTAAAATAACTGACACAGCATATCATTAGAGGAATTATGATAAAAGGTAGAAAAATAATTCCGAGGATTACATACATCAATAGCAACATCAGTGTGACAGGGAGAGTCTTTCCGCGTAGGCTATACCAATGAGTATTTTTGACCACSAGGCAATGATTCACACTAGGAGATCCAAGGAATGATGAATTTGAATTAAACGTACTCGAGTAACGATCTTTCGTGATGCCTTGTTGTGATTCTTTGATTGTCTCTTCATGGTTAATTGTTGACCTAAAAAGAAACGCCACCAGCGAATAAATTTATCTTGTTAAGTAGAGTACAAAAGGGGCAGATCCAGGATTTTTTTAGGGGGGTGAATTTTTTTTTAGAGAGCTAACATTTAGAAGTAGGTATTATAATAACCTAAAAGGTATTCACATAATTAAGAGATACATTACCAAGACTAATTACGTGTATCCTCGTTTTTTTACCCAATTATTTACTATTTCCTAAGTTTGCATTATCATTTTATTCGAGAAAAGGGGGGACTAGTCACCCAATTCACCCCCCCCCCCTCTATCCGCCCCTCAGTGTACAACTCGGTATAAATTTGAACATTTTGAATAAGAGGAATGAAGAAATAGGTAATTTCCGAGTTTCATCCGATACTTTGACGAGGAGATTCCAAAGGGTATCCGAAACATATACGATGTTTTACCGAAAATATGTACTTGCTTACAGTTTACCAGCCACAAAAATAGCAACTTGCAGGGGGCTGCAGACTGTTCTAATGGATGATATCAAGCGATCGTTCTCGATATAGGGTTTATTTAAAGATTAGTTTGCCGTAAGACTGTGACAGCTGTGAAATAATAATAATAATAATAAACAGCCAAACTAGTCATCGCGCGACTTGTCTCTCGAAATAAATTCTTCAAGTTGCATTAGCCTGCGTGCAGCCGAACCAAAACTTGTACATAACAACAAGTTTTGGTTCGGCTGCACGCAGGCTAAGTTGCATGAGCGATGCTAAACTTAAATTTTTGCGAAAATTGTTACGTAAAGTAGAAGTTTTCAATTTTGGTGAGACAAGTTTCACTAAAAAAACGCTATTGTCCTTGCAGCGACGCCATTTTGTTCAGAAATCATGATGGGAGTTCTATCCTTGTACTTTTTACGGTCCCTAAAATATTTTCCTAAAATCTGCTTTTGTGTTTTCTTGGTACAAAACGACATGACTAGTTTGATTTTTGCAAAGGAAGAAGTGCTGAGAAAAACTTTTTATTTAGGAGGGCTGTTTTATATAATTTACTTTATTAATCTATTTAATTCACTCTTATCGATAACAAACTTCTTATAGCAGCAGCTACTGAGCTATATCTCCGATTAMGCTATTTTTAAACGAGGACCTCGAGGGTTTTTCCGAGTTTATCTGATATGAGATAACGGAAATCGAAATGAAATTGATATTTTTTAATTTTACCTTGGCCATAATATTGGCGTTGTACTGATATTAAAGATATGAATGATTCTCTTTTGTGATATTCTACACACTATACTTGTTATAATATTACTCGAATTCATACATGTTATTATCCGTATAGGAAAACACTGCCCGAGGTCTTGACAGTACGGAACGAGCTACATAAAAGACCGAGGGCAGTGTTTTCCTATACGGACCGACCTATAGCCGGTAAATAACATTTTAATTTYTTTATTTGTATTCTATGCAACTTTGCTCGCAGCCTAGCTGCAGGATACCGTCGGACCGGGCAGATCGTGAAAAACCGGACCGCGCGCTAGCCAATCACAGCTCGCGAATGACTAGGATACCGGACCGAAAAAAAAATAACTTGTAATACTTACGTTACTTCGATGGATGTTTGGTCGTTTTCAGTGAAACCGGAGTTCACATTGAAAGATACTGCACCGGGTATACTAGAATGGAACAGGAACAATTTATGACCAAATACATGTTATAAAAGAACTATTAYATAGCGCGCGTATTTTTTGGGAAATTGAATCACTCGCTTTCTGCTCAGTAGGSMTTCAAAAACTTTCTGTATGTCACCCAATAATCACTTGTGTTTCTAACAGAGAATGGAAATGCAGAAAATATCTTCTAATTGTTTAATATCTTTAATTAAATATCTTGTCGCGTACAAAATCAATCTATAAACAGAAGCTGGATAAGAGTAACCTAGTTTAGAAAATTGCACTATTCATAGTATTCATCAATGCTATTCTCGCAACCAATTTMAGTTCGCAATTTGCCAAAATCAAATGTTTATCATTACACYAAAAATATTAATTGATTGAATTGCCATACTGTGCCCTTACGGTCTCAGACAAACAAAGACGAGAAATCTTTAATTTATTTGTCGATATACAGCTACTGTAACTGCAAAAACGTCATCATAGAGAAATAATCCATTTGAAAATTCCTTTTCCTAAGTTCAAATGTTATATTTCTCTCAATAGAGTGGACATGCTCAGAAAATTTTTCCACCGTTTTCGGTGGCGCRCGAGCGCGTTTTCCCGCTCTTTTCAACATGTTCAACTACGACATTGGATTTCCATTTTTTTAGCGAATTTACGCATGCCCTGATATCAGCGCCTAGATTCTTTTATTTCCCCAGAGCCTCGTCTACAATTCTATAGTGCATCGTCACGTGAACCAAAATATCGCAGTCTAAAATCGAAAATATTTAATGGCCYGCGTTCAGCCGAACCAAAATTCTCGTTGTGTTCGTCTAACAAACACAATGAGACTTTTGGTTCGGCTGAACGCTGCAGGTTAGCTATTTCAATCTCTAATATCCCTAGTAGCAATTGTATTACTTTTTGAACATAGATGCATGTAAGTTGACGAGAGCGAACTCATTAAACCCGTGAAACAAAATTTGACTAATAAACTGTGATAGTYAAACAAACACAAAAGAAAACAATTCAGTTAGAGAGTATTGAGGTGTATTAGTTTAATATCAGTCTATTTCACGGGTTTTTTGAATTCACTCTGTGCCCACGGCCGCAAAAGTCACGTGTAATTTCGTTGTTTTTTGCTCACTCTGATTAGAGCACTATACAAAGTAACGGTGACAACTTTAATAGTTACATAACAACGCTGATAACGATACCCATGGCCCGTAAACACGTTCTTTAAAAGTCACATGTTAATTGTCTCTTATTTTTCATCTACTGAGAATAGSAAGCCCAATTATACATTGATTGATAGCTAGATTATTAGTTGGTCAGTGCGATGAGAATAGCACTTAGTTTAAAATATATACCAAACCGAAAGAAACAAACTGAGATATTAAAAATTGTAGATAAACTGAACGAATTATAATAATTGCCATGGGGTCAAAGCCAAAAGATGGAAAATGCATTATTTGCTCGGTGACTGCGAAGTCTCCCCTTCCGCAAAGCGTTGTGTTTGTTCGTCTGAAGAAAAGTATATGTTGTCTCGCTCAAGGCAGAATCTTAAAGGGGGGATAAAGATGACTAATCACCCCCTTAGGGTTTAAAAACAGAAAGAGGAATTATGATATGAGAAAATAAAACGGGAAAAGTTAAATCTGAATGGGACTCATTCTAAAAAAATGAACACCTAAAGCAGCGGTTCATCTCAAAGAAATATCATTTTCCACAGACATAAATTTATCCRTTTGAAATTTCCTCTTGTGTTAGCTACCCCCCTTCGTGGTGTTCKGGTTTCGTCACTGCACGTACACCATGCAGWAGCAAGATTATATGGCATTAATCAATTCTGAGAAATGCGGGGAGAAAATACGCGAYWAATRTTGYGAAAATCTTTTTGGAAACAAAAMAACTTATTAGGGTCGTCCATGTTCAACTGTATACTGTACTCAAAACTACAGTATTTCTGACTCATTGTTAACCATGAAGAATCGACCGGCGGTACATTAATGGTCTAAATAGTATTATTTTTGTTTTGTTTTGTCATTTCTGAGTAATTACCGAAAAAAAGGCAACCACTGCAGAACCACGGAATATTCAATTTAAATTATTTCAAAATTAAAACATCACAATGAAATTGCAATATAGTTTTTTGTATTTTCTAGCTATTACTGACTTTTTTCTTGTGAAAGCTCATTCATTGATCGAATTATTTCTTTTCAATTTAATTAAATTTCATTTTAAATTAATAGCTTTGAATTGCACTTGAATATATTAAAAGAATTTAATGATCAGACGTTTTTTTGATAGTTAGTGTAATTCAYCGAAAAACCGTGTWCAATTGTAGCTCGTATATAAATTGATACTTATTGATCGACGCTAGGTTAAATTACCTTGTTCAAAACACCATTTATTATTGAACTATTTAGCTGTTTTACGCTGAAATCTGTGCGCGTCGTCTAAGAGAGAGTTGAAGATAAGACTAATGTGTTTTTTTTCCTATCATAACATTGCAAAATTCAGCATATAGGCTATGGGTTTCCACCATAAACGTGACTTATAAATTAATATAGTATACTTTTAAAAACTCACCAGTTCTCTGCCATTATTGAGAAAACCAATTTTCACTTGAGCTCCTGTTTTTAAAGTTGTTCTCCCAACTATACATGTAGCACTCTTCAATTGACTCTTGTTTCTTCCCGCTGAATCAGCGACCAGCGTCTTACTTCCCCAAAATGTGTCCTCGCGTCATCTTCGAGGCGAAATGGCATCACACGTGCTCAGATTTAGGCTATTTAGCTTTCTTGTGTTTGAGTAGACAGTGATTTATTCGCTAAATCGCAGATTTTGAATTTATCACTATACGGCTCCCCTAATTGGCTGTCAATGACGTCATTGTCTATGTGCMCTACGGCTAATAATACAAGAAAAAGGAAAAAGCTATGTTCATTCTGTTTAAGCACCATAATTTCAAGAAATTGATGTATAATATAGAAATATCTAGAATGTACAAGCAAGATGCTGGTCTCCYAMCTTTAACTCGGATGTTTTTACGTCCCGAAAAAATGTTAATAACGTTTCGGATGATAACGCGCTCTCTCATTGGCTGATGGTGACTGTAATTATATATAAGAGACACAGTTTGCCACTCCGCTCTCAAAGAAAGACTCCATAATTCTAGCTTACTCTAGAAGCAAGAGAAACACTTACTAAGCACGTTTTCCCAAGATTGCTTGTCGTGAGCATAGTTAATAGAGGGAGACATCTCCCTCTATTAACTATGTCGTGAGCCTCTCCATCACTCACTTTGTTTATATCACAGGAAATAGGCACGAACTCTTAGGTAGCTAAGAGGCGGGTTTGGTTAGTATCAAAAGATATAATTTCCATGCAAAACACACCTTTTTCCCATTCAAAGCGAGCGACCGCTGTTTTAGTAGACAACAGACTGACTTGCGCAGACACCTTACCCCGAACAAAAGAAAGCACGAAAAAATACTCACATTAAAATAGCTGTAGAAATTAAAATCTTCTCCAATTTGAGGCTAAGCCTGTCGCGTGTTCCCACAATACAGGCTAAACCTCAACTGAAAGAATGGAAATTTGTACGGCTTTGTTTTTAGAAAGTTCTCTGCGTATGAGAGACTGTTGTCAACAAAAACAGCGGTCACTCGCTTTGAACGGGAAAAGGCGTATTGAGAACTGTAGATATAAAAGCCTAGCTTATTGCTCTGCTGGTCTTTTTGTTCTTGTTGTTTTGACTTTCTTARTTTTTTTGTTTCTTTTAGCCTCCCGGAGAAAAAAAAAACGAATTTAAAGAAATCGCCTGGTCGTGTGGGGACATAGTACAGACTCGCCTGCAGTCGTCACTCTCACATTTCCGGCATGATGTTTTGTGAGAATAGAAACGACTGGTGTGAACAGAAGTTTATTACTGAAAATGCTYCCAAAGAGAGCTTATTTTTGCCGCATTCCCGCATTGTCACCAGTTCAGCAGTTGAACAAATTTTTATTTTTTGTTCTAAAAAGTATTAAAAGATGTGCCTTTTTTAACAATTATTTAATATAAATAKTTATGTTCTATTGATAGTACAGTTCCAAGTTCATGCCATCATGGATTTCATCTGAAACATAGTCAAGAAAATAATCTTTGAATCTATATGTCTTCCATGTTTATAAAGAATGTCAATATTTTTCTAGCAGGCTACAGACCATATGAAAAAGGGCATGTCTATCATAACACCTTATACTTTATAAGATTTATAATAGAGTTTAAAAAGTTCATGAATAATCAAAATATTCATGAGCTATTTGTCCACTAGGAGCTGTCTATTTGGTCAGGTGATTGTCCTTGTAGATCTGATACAACCACAGGCGTCCCAGGCTGGTATCTTGTGGCTTATTAATGGCGCGAGCGTTCAGTGGTTCGAATCTCGGTCGAACCGCTTAAAAAATTTTTTTTTTCCTGTTTTTTTTTTCTTCACAAAATGGATCCTTATGTAGTTACAATATTTTTTCTGAATAAAATTTTAATTTTAAAGCTGTTTTTATATTTTAAAACAGCTTTAAAATTAAAATTTTATTCAGAAAAAATATCGTAACTACATAAGGTCATCCATTTTGTGAAGAAAAAAAAACAGAAAAAAAATTTTTTTAAAGCGGTTCGACCGAGATTCGAACCACTGAACGCTCGCGCCATTAATAAGCCACAAGATACCAGCCTGGGACGCCTGTGATACAACACTGCGTATTCCCACCTGCAAATTTTTTCTTGCAACCAGAATTGAAGAATGGAAATGTCTGTAGAGTGGAATCTCATTTAATCCGGCCACCGAAGGGACATTGGAAAAGTGGAATATATATTTATCATATAACAAATTACAAATGAAAGGATACAATCCGCCAGTGTGATGTGATCCTTAAAAATAGTGTACCTGAAATGATCACGAAAAAGAATGCTAAGCTCAAGAGATTTCAGTTATTTGAAGAAATTTGTGGGTGTCTGGATGAATTGAAGATGTGGACATTTTGAAGGAAGAATGATCAGTTTAAGGTTATAAGTGAAGTTTTT